GGTTTCGGGTTTAGTCCATGAGGCTATGGCTACAAAAGTTTATGACTCCAAGCTCTTGCTGCCCTTCTTGTAGCCCCTCTGCTTATACCCCAAACCCCAAACCCCAAACACCAAATTCTAAACCCTATGAACCCCGAGTCGAACCCTAAATCCGCAATTACGGACAGCTTGGGGAAGGGGTTTTCCAAGCTAGGGCACCGGGTTTGGGGTTTAGGGTTTAGGGATAGGGTTCATTAAGAAGTCACCAACGGCTTGTATCAGGGGTACGTGGGGCAAACCACCCACCCTCAAGCGCTAGAGCAAACCCCACAACCCTGACGCTTTTGAGCCTTGGTAGCCCAGCCTCTAGATTGTTCAATGCTTTCAAACGAGAACCCGAGCGGCTTTACATGGTATCCTCCTCTTGGCGAGCCCGCCATATGGACCTCGGCTACCCTAAGTTACTAGACTAAGCCCCCTAAAGCCCCTAAGCTTGAGACCCGCAAACAGGGTTTAGGGTTTAGGGTTTAGGGCTCCTAAAACCCCTCAAGCCCCTAAAACCCCTAAAGCCCAAAGCCCAAAAAAAACCTAAGGCCTCGAAGAAACAACAAAGACGCAAAAGCCCCAAACCCCAGCCCTATATACCCTGAACCCTAATCCCTACAATCCCTAACCCTAAACCCTAAACCCCGGCCGTAGCCACCCTTTTCTCGGGTGCCTGGACCCACAATAAATGGAGCCATTGGAGAATGGTCGAATAGAGAGCCCCTAGGGCTCGCCTTGCCACTAGGCCACCAGAGTGGCGCCCATAGTTACACAGGATCCTCACCAAGGACCATCCCCCTGCCCCCTGCCCCGCCTGGCGCATCCTAGCCCCCCCCCTTGCCCCGCTGCCCCCCCCTTGGCCCCTCCAGCCCAGCAGCAGGGGGGCATCCCCCCTCCCGCTCCCGCTTTCCGCGAGGCAGGCGTTGTCCGAGGATGCAGACATAGGCACATCCGGGATCCACCGCTTCGAAGTGTCTTAGGGTTTAGGTTTCAGGGTTCAGGCCCCTCCTGACCCGCTCTGGCCCCCGCCCCGACTTGATGGTGGGAATTGAGGGCGACAGCCCTAAACCCTAAAAGGTAATGGTTTGGGTGGTGGCCTGTGAAAGCTCACAGCGGGTGGGGGCAAAAGAACCAGCACCAATGGAATTGTTGTATGACATTGAAAACAGATGCCTTCGCGTGACATGCTGCCCCCCCCACACCGCCTGGGTGTGTAGGGGCGCCATTTACACATGGTACTTACTGCCGCTGCGTGGCGAGACGCCCTAAACCCTAAACCCTAAACCCTGAACCCTAAACCCTAAACCCTCAACCCTAAACCCTAACCGCTCAATAAGGACCCTGGCTAGCCATGAACCCACAGTGGAGGTTCCCCAAGCAGACCCTGGCAACCCCACATCCCCAACTCGAGCTGCGGCTTGAAAGTTGAGGGCTTGAAGATTAGGGTTTAGGGTTTAGGGTTTAGGGTTGAGGGTTTAGGGTTGAGGGTTGAGGGTTGAGGGTTTAGGGTTTAGGTTTATATAGGGTTTGGGGTTTCGGGTTTAGGGGTAAGGGCTTGGAGTTTAGGGCTTCGGGTTAAGGGCCTTGGAGTTTAGGGTTTTGGGTTTATACAGGGTTTGAGGTTCAGGGTGTTTAGGGTTTAGGGCGAGGGTTTAGGGTTTAGGGTTTGGGGTGTAAGCCCGGCAGGCCCTTAAAACCCAAACTGAGCGCCCCTGCTGTCTTTGGCTGTGTCCGGCACAGCGCGGGATGCCCAAGCGAAGGGACGGAGAACATAAAAATCAGCCAGTCCGATGGGAGACAGGCGGTTTAGGGTTTAGGGTTTAGGGTTTAGGGTTTAGGGTTTAGGGTTTAGGGTTTAGGGTTTAGGGTTCTACCCGCAGAAGGACATCTACCTCAGGCCCATGGAGTGAACTATTGGGGAAAGTGTAGGGATTAAACCCGTAAAACCCTAAACCCTAAACCCTAAAGCCTGAATCCGAAACCCGAATCCTAACGACCCTAAACCTTCAACACTGAATCCTCAACCCTGAACCGGAAGACACGGCTCAGGAGTCAGGGCCCACCCTAAACCCTAAACCCTAAACCCTAAACCCTAAACCCTAAACCCTAAACCCTAAACCCTAAACCCTAACAAAAAACCCTAAACCCGAAACCCTAACCCTAAACCCCAAACCCTAAACCCCACACCCTAACCAGCGGATTCATCTTCGGTGTGGGGTTGTTGGATTTTACACTCAACTCTTCTCCTCACCCGGACCTCTTCTCCTCGCCCATCTGTAGTGCCCATGCCCAGACAGTCCCTGAATTGAGCTGCATTGTGGACTCTGCTTTTTTTGGGCCAGGTCGTCCCGAGACCTCTCTGGGCTCTCCAGGGATTTTTGGGCCAGGTCGTCCCGAGACCTCTCTGGGCTCTCCAGGGATTTTTGGGCCAGGTCGTCCCGAGACCTCTCTGGGCTCTCCAGGGATTTTTGGGCCAGGTCGTCCCGAGACCTCTCTGGGCTCTCCAGGGATTTTTGGGCCAGGTCGTCCCGAGACCTCTCTGGGCTCTCAGAGATTTTTGGGCCAGGTCGTCCCGAGACCTCTCTGAGGGAGCCCAGAGAGGTCTCGGGACGACCTGGCCCAAAAATCCCTGGAGAGCCCAGAGAGGTCTCGGGACGACCTGGCCCAAAAATCCCTGGAGAGCCCAGAGAGGTCTCGGGACGACCTGGCCCAAAAATCCCTGGAGAGCCCAGAGAGGTCTCGGGACGACCTGGCCCAAAAAAAGCAGAGTCCACAATGCAGCTGGGGACTTCTTGAGTGACGGCGGACGGCGGGAAGCAGAAGCCCAGAGTCTGTACTACAGCTGAAGGCTGAGGGCGTTTTTCGGTGAGAAATGGTGAGAAGCAAAGGCTCAGAGTCCACACTGCAGCTGGGGCCTTTCTGGGGTGACGGCGTAAAGGCCCAGAGTCTGTACTACAGCTGAGGGTGTTTTGCGATGACGGCGGGAAGCAAAGGCGCAGAGTCTGCACTACAGCTGAGGGTGTTTTGCGGCGACGGCGGGAAGCAAAGGCCTCGAGTCAGTACTACAGCTGAGGGTGTTTTTCGCAACCCTTGCGAAGCAATCGTGCATGTCGCAATGTTTCTTGCCTTGAGCAGATGAGCATCAGAACACTTTTCAATTTTCTACTTAGGGTAATTGGGGATTAGGGTGTCCTTTCAATGCCGACTAGACAGTGATATATTTATAAGAGACCCCGTGCGCGTTTTTGTATCCCGGTGCCGCATGCCGGGGGGTGGCCCAGGGCCTGACCAGGCCGGGCTCACCCGTTTTTTAACAAAACGACATTTTATACGACTTATCGGCATTGAGTTGACAGGACCAATTTTTTTATATCTAGTTACAGTAGAGCCCCCCCTGCCCAGGCCGAACTAGGATGAATGGTATAAATGAATTTACACGTGAGATGGCAAAACACAAGTACAACATGAATTCATGCTGGCCTGGGCTAGAGGGAACCCCAGGCCCAGGTGTGAGCCCCTATTGGGACCCGACACCCTTCCACGGGCCCCCCTTCTTCAAAACGATATATATAAAACTTAACCGGGGGTTTGGGCTCGGGAAAATTATACAGGGGCAATATCTAGACCTAGAAGAATCAAAACATCGTGGGGCAAAAATGCACCCCACGGTATTGCAGGACTAATATGTGCCCTGCGGAGGGGCCGAAAAGGGCCCGTTTTTTATAGGTGCAAGCAACATGAGCATCAGCAACATGAGCATCAGCAACATGAGCATCAGCAACATGAGCATCAGCAACATGAGCACCAGCGTCATCGGCATCCTCAGGACGGCATAGTCATGGCCTGGAATTGTGGCGAAAAAGACAACTTGGAACGTGCCTGGACAAGAGCCAGGGAGAGCGAGCGAGATGGACGGGGGGGGACCCCCCCAATTAAACAGACCCTATAGGATTACGTCCGGATGGGTTGTGGACATGAAAAGTGCGACCAGGAGCCTATAGGCCCAGTACTCAAACCCATCCGTAAACCCGGCATGAACCCAGAGAAGGCCTCCTGGGGCATGAGCCGCTTCACGCGCACGCAGGCCACGCTCCTCCTCCACAAGGCGCACCTCGTAGGTCTCTGGCTGAAGCTTCAGGGATTTTGGTGAACAGAACCCCTACATCTTAGAAGGTTTGGGGTGTGGTCAGGGTTTCGTCAGGCGAGCCAAGGGTTACAGTCGAGTTCAGGCTTGTGGGCGATTGAAAAACTTGGGCCACCCTACCGGACCTAGTTTTGGAAGTTTTGCGCAATCAGGCACCTGGGCAGTGGACAGGGATGGGGGGGTGGGGGGGGGGCTATTCAGGGCCGTCCGACAGACCTACTGGATGGGAGCGTTAGCAGGGATGGCTGGGGGCCGCGGGCTCTCTTGCAAGAAACTTAGCCTTCCCCCCCGCTATCCTACTGCCGGGAAACCGTTCTATTATATTCCAGAACGACCTGACAGCCCTCCATCGCCCCAGTCTTCCCGCCTGCATCTGTGGCCATATTCTGGATGCTGCCCACGCAGTGCCAGCGGAAGCTTGAGAGTAAGGACCCAAAACCCTAAACCCTAAACCCTAAACTTCCGCCTCTTGGGCTTGACCCAGGAGCTTCAGGTTTATAGTAGGGTTTGATCGAACGTTTTAGGCTTGAGGTTTTTTCATGTTTTGGGTGCTGAGTTCGGCCAAGAGCTCACATAACGTTTCCTGACCCTCGCTACTTGGCCTGTCGGCTCGCTAAACTGTCATGTCAGCGGAAGCCGACACAACAGGTCGGCATGTCTGGCCTTGATCCTAAATGCTTGAGGCAGGTGCAGCTTGACTATGCCAGGACGGATCCGTGTTTGTGGGGCTGCTTGCCTACTTTCACGCATCTTTCTAGAGAATTCCAGAAACTGCAACTCCGCACCTGTGGAGGCAAAATACAATGCTTCATTACCCTGGTGTCGCTCGCTGCTATGAGGTAGAGTTCCAGGCCCGGCTTGCCAATACGGGCCGCATCAAGTGCCAAGGAAAGCCTTTGTTCAAATGTTCAAATGTGCCCAACAGAAAAATCAAGTGTACACGTACTATATTCCTTACCGGGATCCAAGTTCGAAAAAGAAGCGTTGCAGGCTTGCTCCATGTCAAGCGCAGCGTCGCCTGGTAGGCCGCCATTTCAGACGCTATCAACTTGTTTGCCTGGAGAGTCTTCTCCAGCGCACGTGCTGAAGCTGCCACAGTTGGCTGCTGGCCATTGGCGGCTGACCGCAACGCCCATTGCTTGACGTGCGGGTCCACCCGCCTTCGCTTGCATGCGCCGCCTGGGACGCTGGTCACCTCGGCCTCCGCCGACTTGTGCCACGTGAGATCGCCCCATCTCTCTGCTTCTTCTTCCACGGTATGTGACAAAGCGGTGACGATTTCCGAAAGCCAATGGCGAATGGCCGGGCATTCTACATGCTGGTACAACTGCCGCATCTGCTTCCACAGGCACAGCTGCGGGGGACCATCCGCGATGGCGTTGCTAGCAAGTCGTGCTGCCTCTTGGAAGCAAGGGCACTTCCCCTGCAGTTTGGGCTCCCTGGCACACTGGCCCATGCTACTGGCGTTTGGCTGGAGGGGCTGAAGATCCAATGCTGCAGGCAAGCATGCCTGGAAAAAATGCCCGGCAGCGCTGTCCGCGAGCAGGCGATTGTGCATGTTTTTTCCTGAATTTAACAGCAATAGGCTGGGAAGACACTTGAATGCTGCTGGTTAGAATATCCGAGATATGCTATTGTAAAAAGAAACATGTAACACTTGTATGGGAGGTCTCGGGAAGTCAAGGCAACTGAACTAAACCTCAGAAGAAAAAAACGGATGCACGAAAATGTCGGCAAGGATTCCAAACGCTTGGGCCAAGCTCCCGCCATGAAGGGACCCCGAACACTTCAATGGAAGGGTTGGGACTGCGCTCGCGAGAGCAACTAGTGCCTAAACGCAACTCTTGGCCCCAAGCGCTATAAACTCTGAGAAGTGATAACTTCGATTGAAGATCAACGCCGCAATCGGTGAACTTACGCGACCTTACCGAAAGGACTGGCAGGCCAAGTCGCGCTTCGAAGACCAAGCAAGAAGCAAACATACTAGTCCTGTTGTGGTGACCCAGTGCTCCTGCTCGGCATCTGACGTGTCTGCTGCTTGATTCCTCAGTGCTGCGCCTGATTGGTCCATGTGCTCATCGGGGTTCGCGAGAACAGACACTGAGTTTCTCCAAGATTGCCAATTTCTCACGAAGACACGCCAGGGCTGTTCTGCGCGCGGCCCAGTTTCAAGCCAGCCTAGGTTTCCCACCAGTCGTCGCAACTCCCACCGAAGCTCACCGTCGGAGCCTTCACGGGTTGCAAGGATCCAGCTGCTACGGCTACTATGATCTCATCCCTAAAGGCCGAGGTAAACCTCACCTAGCAAACCTTGTCACATTGTGCTCATAGGGCCCTGCTTGTTTTTGAAGAGTTCCAACCTGCACTGCTCGGGAACGCCTTCCAGTGGCAGCTTTCCACATGTCCAGATGGCAGCATCGCTCTGAACCGCAACATCAAACCCAAGGAAAAATCAGCCATTGTGCGGGCCGCTGGGCGGCTGGGCTCTCGGTGACCAATGTGGTCTAATAAGAATACTGGATGGTGGACGGACACTGTGTTTCTACGATACTATAGTGTATATAACATTATGACTATACTAACTACATGGTTATACGTGGTATAACAGAGCAAAGGATGGCCTTGCAAGATCACACAACAATGTATAACTTGTGTAACATACGATGCTATATTCTGGGCCTGTGCGCAGCCAGCAACGGCAAGGTTGACCAAGGGGACCTTTCCGAAGGGGACCTGTTGGCCGACTCCGACTTAATAAATCTTGAGCCCTGATAAACCCTAAACCCTAAACCCTGAACCCTGAACCCTAAACCCGAAGCCCTAAACCCTAAACCCTGAACCGGATGCCTGTGGAAGTGCCGGATCCGAATCCCGTTCCGGAGCCTGCATCCACGGTGTCGAGTCGGCTGCGAGGTTCAGGGGCTTCGGGCTTATAGGGGTTTAGGGTTTAGGGTTTAGGGTTTAGGGTTTAAGGTTTAGGGTTTAACACCCCCTGCAGCCACACACCCGCACACCAGGATGCTTCGCATCTAGGACATCTCAGCTGCAAGTTGCAGAAAACTAACAGATCTTCACGCGCAGCCACACTCCAACTCCAACCCCGAAGTTTTATGAAGTTTCTACATCCTTGGCTTCTCCCCACACACACACAGAGACACACACACACCAACGCCCGCCCGCACGCACGCGCTCGCGCGCACGCACGCTTCTACCCCCACAGAAAACAAGAAGAAGCCTCCTCCGATCCCTGTCGGGACGCCGGTGAAGGTACCAGATCCCGATCCCGCTGCTCTGAAATTTCTTCGCAAGGCTGGAGCGGTTCGGAATTTCGAGGGTTGGGGGCTTTGGGGGCTTCTGAACTTCGAAGGTTCTATACAAAATGCTGAACACCAAAACCCCCCCCCCCCCCCCAAAAAAAAAAAAAAAAAAAAAAAACTATAAACCCTACAATCCGCATGCGCTAACCCTAAACCCGAAACCCGAAGCAAGAAAAACTGAAGACTCAAGGCAGAATTGGCGTAGAGGACGATCAGCTCTGAACCCTAAACCCTAAAACCCCTAAACCCTGAAATCATAATCATGCTGCTCTGATACAGCCCCCGGGATCATGGCGCTTTGCAGCAAGTAACCCTAGAACAAAAGGGTGCCCTTGTTTTTTCTCAAGGGCTTGAATTAGCTAGAAGGGAACCTGGCCCATGAGAAAAGGAACAAAGGCCCACTCTTCATGGGTTCTCCTACTACCCCCCTCTATACTACCCCCCCTAGGTTCCCCCCTTAAATAACCTTAATTAAGCCTAATTACCCCTAAATAGCCTTAATTATGGGGGGAACCTAGGGGGGGGGTAGTACAGAGGGGGGTAGTAGGAGAACCCATGAACTCTGGTTCCCAAGAGCCCAGAACCCCATAGCCCTGAACTATCCGACCCTCGAAGCCTTTGAACCCAAAGCCACCCAAATGAACTCCATGCCCTCAAGTTCGAATTACTCTTCCCAACCTCTGAACCCTAACCCTAAACCCTAAACCCTAAACCCTAAACCCTAAACCCCAGGCCTTAATGGGGATTGTAGTACCCCCTATTGGAATCCCTATAATTGGAAAGGACAATTAGTCTAAGGGGACACATCCCAACCCCACGGCCCCAAAAGCCCTAAGCCCTAAGCCCTAAGCCCTAAACCCTAAACCCCAAAACTGCCAGCCCATCGGCCCAGCCTTGGCCGGTTCCTGTGCCAGTCCCTGTTCCGCCTCCGGGACGTTCTCTTAGGCTTCAGGGAGAAGATTTCGGGCCGGTCCGGGAACTGCGGGTGCCGGGCTGGAGGGTTTAGGGTTTAGGGTTTAGGGTTTAGGGTTTAGGGTTTAGGGTTTAGGGTTTAGGGTTTAGGGTTTAGGGTTTAGGGTTTAGGGTTTAGGGTTTAGGCTTTAGGCTTTAGGGCTTTAGGGCTTTAGGGCCTTTAGGTCTTTAGGGCTTTAGGGCTTTAGAGTTTTAGGGTTTCAGGATTTAGGGTGCAGTGTGAGGGTTGAGGGACATGGAACCCCAAAGCCTGAAGACCCCAGTCCTCAACCCCCTGAGTCCCTCAACCGAAACCCTAAACCCTAAACCCTAAACCCTAAACCCTAAACCCTAAACCCTAAACCCTAAACCCTAAACCCTAAACCCCAAACCCTAAACCCTAAACCCTAAATTTTGTGGCCGCAACTTCATGTGGCAGGTCAGGGAAATCATTCGCAGCCCTGCTGGACCAACAACAAACACCTTGGTGATGTGAGAGGTCCATCATCGGTCATGCGTCGATGATGAAAGACTTTCCCATCTCGACCTGGGCAGAACCCTCAGGTTTATCGAGTTGAGGGTTTCGGGTTTAAGGTTTAGGGTTTAGGGTTTAGGGTTTAGGGCAGCAGCCGCAGTGCCGAAGACGCCCTCGATGCAGCACCACCGGCCAGATCACCAACCTTTCCTGTCCCGAAAAAGAGCGGGGTGGCCAGATGACATGCGAGCTGGCTCTCGACCTTCCTCCCAACGTGTCATGGGTAGGGTTTAGGGTTTAGGGTTTAGGGTTTGGGGTTAAGGGTTTAGGGTTTAGGGTTTAGGGTTTAGGGTTTAGGGTTTAGGGTTTAGGGTTTAGGGTTTAGGGTTTAGGGTTTAGGGGTTTCCCTACTACCTCTATGCTACCCCCCTAGGTTCCCCCTTTATGTCCCTTCCAAGCCCGTGCTTAGAAAAAAAAAGGGGGGGCCCCCCGCACCCAGAAGGAAGAAGAAAAAGTCCGGCCACACGCTCGCCACACCTAGGAGGAAGAGAAGAGGGCCCTGCCCCTCAGAACCAGGGAACTGCGGGATGAAGGGCCTGAAAGCCAAAAGGGCCACACATAGGAAAACAAAAAACCACGCCCTTGGGGAAATACCCGGCCCTACACCCAAACTTGGGATGTTGCCCCTTATACTACCAGTCCGTAATAAGGGTACTATCATCCCGATTAAGGACTGCCAGTATAAGGGAGGAACATCCCAACCCTAAACCCTAAAAGCCTACACTGGACTTTCCCCTGCGCCTCCTGTAATAGCGCCTTGGTGGAGACTGCAGCACGTTAGCAGCACGCTCAGTCACAAGGTTTAGGCTCAGCTTGGGATGCTCCCCCTTCTACTAACAGTCCTTAATAGGGATTATGGTACCCCATATGATAATTCAAAATTCTTATTCAGGACTGTTAGTATAAGGGTGAACATCCCAGGGATCAGAGTACAAGGTTTCGGGTTTTCTTCTAGGCTGCCCAGTAACCAAGGCTTAAAAAGGGTGCCCTTTTTTGCTTAAAGGGGTTTATAAGGGAACCTAAACCCCCTAAAAAAGGGAATAAGGGTACTACTGGGCATCCTAGTCTTTCAAACCTGGAAGCCTGAGCACAACAGCCCTAAGACCTGAAAGCCCTGAACCCAGGACCGGTAAGAGCCTCCAAAACAACTCCCATCCGAGGGCACTGAGGGTTTAGGGTTTAGGGTTTAGGGTTTAGGGTTTAGGGTTTAGGGTTTAGGGTTTAGGCTTGGGGCTTGAGGTTTGGGAGCTAAGGTTTGTCGGGCTTGTCCGAGGGCTTGATGGCTTTAGGGATGGGGCATCGAGCATTGAGGTTTAGGGTTTAGGGCTCTTGGTAGCCGAGTAACCCTGTTGTACTAAGGGTATCCTTTTTAGGGGGTTGGTCACTTCTTAAGGGTACTCAGGGTACCCTGTTTGTGGTTACTTTTTTAGGGAACCCAGAGCCAAAAGAGGCAAAGGGAACCACGGGCCTACCAAGGGTTTGGGCCCACACTAGGGGCATATTTAGGGAACCCTTTGGGGGGTACATCCTTAGGGGTCCGAGTATGACTCCCTGAAGTTTCGGGCTGAAGGCCCTAAACCCTCAACCCTAAACCCTGCCAAACCCTAAACCCTAAACCCTAAACCCTAAACCCTTAACCCTTAACCCTTAACCCTTAACCCTTAACCCTTAACCCTTAACCCCAAACCCTAAACCCTAAACCCTAAACCCTAAGGTTTGTAAGGCTTCAGGGCTGAAGGCTTCAGGGCTGAAGGC